GTGGCGTGTGCGGCTGGCCGCTCAATGGGGAGTACCGCAGCGCGCGATACACCCGGACCCTCAAAGCGCGGGGGCAGTCGGTCCAAGGGGACGGGGGCTATGAACTGGGACGGGTTGAAGCCAGAGCAACTTAGTACCGGACGAGAATGGGCGCGGGGTGGGAAAAAGGCGGCGACGGGAGAGTAGCTGCCACCGGAGCGAGACCACGATGGGGGGAGTGGGGGGGGATAGAGGGGGGAGGGCACGCCCCATGAGCCCGAGAAGAAGCCACCGCGGACCGGCGCGAGCGGCAGAAGAAGGGACGGAGCGAGGCCAACGGGGGCGGGGCTACGAACGCGGGCGACGCACATCAGCGGGGGGGGAGAAGGGCCGCGACAGAGAAGGAACAAGGGCCAATACCCACCCCGGACAGGGGTCAAGAAAAAGAGCAGGCGCGAACCTTGCGCCAGGGACGGGTACGCACACGAAGGACGAAGCGGCGAGCCAACGCCGCACAAGCAAGGGCACCACCACAAAGGAGGAGCCGACAACGGCCCACCAGCAGGGAGAGTGTCAGCCGTAGAGTGGTCAAAGGAGCAACAGCCGATAGGCCATGGAGGTAGGAAACAGGAAAACGGGAATAGGCCGAACGGCTGCGGGCGGTAGAAGGACCAAACAGAGTGAGAGAGGAAGGGGAGAAGGCCCCGGGGGAAATCACGGGGGAGGGAAAGCACGAAGTCGGAGGGGACAAAAAGGATGGCGTAGGGGCCGACAGCGGGAAAAAAAGAAAAAAAAATAAAAATACAAAAAAACGGGGAGGCCCAGGAGCGGGGGCGAGAAAGAAAGAGGAGATGAGAGGGGCGGAAGGGGAGGCCCAGAGGAATGCGGGGGGCAAGGAAAGCCGAAGAAGAGGCGCCGAACCGGGCGTCCCGGAAAGCGGGTTCGAGGAGCGGGAAAAGAAAAGTGCAGGGCAACGGTGCAGGGAGCAAAGGTCGGGAGGACGAGCACCGACAAGCAAGATGTGGCGGGAGCAGGGTACAGACAGGAGATAGAGGCTAAGAACGAGGGCGCAGGGCGGACAGGGAGTGCAACACAAGAAAGCGGGGGCGCGAAGAGTACACAAGATAGACACCCCTGAAGGAGCCTGTAGTGACTTAGGCGCACGCGAATCGAAAAGTAAAATCAAGAGACTGGAATAGAGGACAAAGCCCAACATTGGTGCTAGCAAGATGGAGACAACTCGTCGACCCCCAAAGGCGGTGATGGAACGCCCCTGCGCCAAGTAGAGATTGGCACGAGACACAAGGAAGGAAAGCGGAAGGGAGGCCAGGGAGGCGCAACGGGAGTAGAGTAGGGAGGGGCTGAGAGAGGATAGGAAGAGCGGAGAGGGCGGGGAGGGGCCGAACAAGAGGGCGAGTGAACGAAGAGAACAAAACAAGGGGAAAAAGGGGGCCGCGGGGCGGGAAGAGGAGGCGGAGGAGGAGGGAGGGACCAGGGGAAACCCCCAAGGAGCAGGGGAGGAAGAACCACCGGGACCGGAGAGGGGAGGATGGAAGAGGCGGAGAGGGAGGCGGGGCAGACGCGGGGGGGAAGAAGGGGGGAAGGGGCAGCCGGAAAGAAGAGGAGGCGCAAAAGAGAAAAGAGAGGGGAGGCGAAAGGGGCAAGTGAGAGGGAAGGCGGGGACGGGGAGAAGAGAGCGGGAAGGGCCACAAAGGGGGCGAGGGCAGCGAGGGGAAAGGCGGCAAGGACCGGGGCGGGAGCACCCGAAGCCAGAGCGGGGGCCAAGGGGGAACCGAGGCAGGAGAAGGGAGAGGAACAAAGCAGGCGCGGAGGCCGGGAGCGAGGAACAAGGACGCGGAGGAAAGGGGGGGAGAGGGGCCCAAGGCAGGCGGCGCAGGGGCGGGGAGGGAGAACCGGGGCAAGGGAGAGAAAAAAGCACGGGGGAGGGAAGGAGGAACACGGAGGGGGGGCACAGGGAGGGAGGGAGAGAGGGCGGGGCGCCGGGGACGCCGAAACAGGGGGAAGAAAGACGAGGGAAAGCAAGGAAGGCAGCAAAAGAGGCGAAAAGCAGGGCCAGAGCCCCCGAGCCAAAAGCAAAGCCGCCACCGCCTGCCAAGAGCCCGGGCCACGCCAGGGCAGCGCAAAACCCAGCAAAGGAAGCACCACAGCAGCCCGCGCGGCGGGCCAACAAAAAAGGACAGGAAGAAGGCCAAGAAGAAGGGGAGACACGGGAACGGACGGGGCAGCAGAAGCGACCACGGAGCGGAGGCGGCGCGGGGGGACACGCGGAAGCGGGGGGCGGAAGGCCGCGAGGAGTGAAGGGCGGGCGGAGGGGCAGAGGGAGGCCCGAAAGAGAGGCCAAAAGGAGGCCACCACGGAGAGGGAGGGAGCAGCAAAGCGACGGGGGCCCGGGAGGACCGGGCCAAACCGACCAGCCGACAAAACCAAGCCCGGGGAAGCAAAGGAAAGCCAGAAACAGGGGAAGAGCGGCGGGAAAGGGGACAGAGGCGAGAAAGCGGAGGCCGGGGGCCGGGCCAGGGCGCAGGGGCCCAAAAAAAAGACGGGACAGGGAGAAGGGGGGGGAGGGGCGGGCAAGCAACAAGAGAACGAGGAAGGAGAGAGGGCCGAGGCCGCGACGGGAGGAGAGGCGGGAGGAACGGGAGGGAGCGAAGGACGGGAGCAAGGGGGAGGGAAACGAGGAGAGCAGCAAAGCAGGAGGAAAGAAGGGGAGAGGGGAAAACAGCCGGAAAACAAAGCAGGGGGGAGAGGAGGGGGGAGGCAGGCCGGGGGCGGAACGAAGGCCCCGAGCACAGGCAGGAGGCGGAGGAACCGGGGGAGGGAAAGGGAGGGGAAGGGGGGGGGGGGACGGGAGGAGAGGCTGAGGAGAGCAAGGCACAAGAAAACACGGGAAACACCGGCGAGGAGGGGCGGGAACGGAGGGCGGCACAGGGGAGGGCAAGCGGGAGAAGGGGGCGGGAGGGCGGGAGAGGGGGGGGGGGGAGGAGGGCAGGGGAGGAGAGAAGGGGGGACCAGGGAGGCAAAAAAGGGGGAAGCGAGCACAAGGGGCCAACGCCAACGAAGGGAGCGAACGGGCGGAGGGGGCGGGACGGGCAGGGGGCGACAGAAAGGGGGGGCGGGAGGGCAGCGCCAGAGCAGCCCCGAGGCAGGAGGGGAGGAAGAAAGACAGCAGCGGCAAAGGGGGGCCGAAACAGGAACAAGCGGGGGCGACAGGGAAAGAGAAACGCACCACCGCGCCGGGGAGAGGGGACCGGGGGGGGAGAAAACGGGGGACGAGGCGGCAAGGGCGGCACAGGCGGGCAGGGAGGTCACAGGCGGAACGGGCCAAAAGGGGGAAGCCCGACCCGGGCCCGGACAGAGCAGAGGCTGAGCGCATGGCGAAAGCAGGGGAATTCAACGAGCAACAGGAACCACAGAGGCGAGACAACTAGGCGTGACGGGCCAAAAGCGTGGAAGCCCAACCCGAGCCCGAACG